AAACCTTTGAGAAAAAAGATGCCATATGGGATGCTGAATCTGTGCTAAGGAATATACAAAAAACACCATATCCAGAATCAATCCTGGATCAAGCCCAAGAAACAGTAATTATCCTAGCACTTGCGACTGGACTAAGAGTGGATGATATTTCGAAATTAGGGAAAAACATCAGGAAAGAGGGCCACGATCTATTTATACCTTTCCTCGAAATCCAGAAAACATCTTTGGCATCAAAAAGAACAAGATCTGGCATAACTGTAGCACCATATAGCCAGGATCAAAGGATCTGTCCAATCAATCTGGTAGAAAGATACATAAAAGCCACGCAATTTTCGGAGCGATCAGAATACTTATTCGTCAGAGCGGACAATGGACAAAGAGTGAAAAAAGCCACATTAAGACAATGGCTCATAAAGATCCTCGACAAAATGAAAATACATGATACGCCAGGCTCAACACGAGCAGCAGCAGCATCATCTGCATGGGCAAAAAACAGATCTTTTGATTCAATCGCAAAATTGACTGGCTGGAAGCAAGAATCAACTTTCCAAAAATATTATAATCGAAAGTTGTCAGAAAAAGGTCTAAATATGCAAGATCTAGAAAAATACAAAGTCATCCAACAAACGAAATGGCATGAAGGGTTAGTAATTAATCCAATTTTCCCAGTGAAAAATCACAATGGAACGTACCGCCTAATACTTAACAGCAAGGCGGTGAACACAGAGTGTGTACCATACAAACACTTTAAAATGGAGAATTTAATTTTGGTTACTCAAGGGATTAACAGGGGAGATCTTATGACATCTCTCAACTTAAAGAAGGGGTATCATAATGTCGCGTTACATCCCGATCATCAGCGGTTTTTTGCTTTCATATGGGAGAAAAGGCATTACATTTTTAAAGCACTCCCAATGGGGCTAAGAGAGGCACCTATGCTGTTTAAGGTGATAATGAAGGCAATCCTCAAAGTAGCCAGGCAACAAGGAATACGCGCACACGCGTACATAGATGATACCCTTATAGTGGCGTCTACTGTTGAACAATGCCATCAAAATACTCAAAAGTTTCATCAATTACTTTCGAATGCGAGGTTTCTAATAAATGCTAAAAAATCCTGTTGTCAACCGAGTACAAGACAAAAACATCTCGGATTTATTGTAGACAGCAATGATTTATGTCTGGAACTTCCGGAGAAAAAATTTAACGGATTGAAGGCCAACATCAACAAATTGCGGAAAATCCATGACACAGGAGATAGTATGCCTCTTAGAAAATTTGCACAAATTGCTGGATTCATCCTAAGCTGCTTACCAGCAATAACGTATGGGCACGCCCACTTCAGATACCTAGAAACGGTTAAGGCAGATCTCCCACAACCAATTGCAGACTGGGAACAACCTATATATCTAAACCAGAGTGTCCTTGAAGAACTGAAATGGTGGGAAAAAATTAGATCCCCGTGCAAAAAGTCATTTGAGGAGAAAACGGTGACACACAGAATAACCACAGATGCATCCACCTCAGGGGGATGGGGAGCAATTCTAGGGAGCCACAAAATATCAGGCACCTGGAAAGTAACAAATGAGGCAGCCATAGACCTACTAGAGCTCCAAACAGTACGAATTGCATTAGAAAATTTCCAAGCCAAGGGAATAAATTTTTTAGGAGCAAATATTGTCTTAAAAATAGACAACACAACGGCTGTCAAATATATTAATAAGGGAGGCAGCATGGTTAAGAGACTGCATGACGAGACAGTGAAACTGTGGGAATTTCTAGAGGCTCAACAAGCATGGGCAAAAGCCATCTATATACCAACCGCAGACAATCCTGCAGATGCGCTGACATGAGTAATCACTCGAAAACAAGCAAGCAAATTAGATGCTGAATGGAAACTCAAGGACATTTATTTTCAAAAAATCTCTAGAGAATTCCAGCTGATGCCAGAAATAGATTGGTTTGCTACAAAAATTATAGACAAATAGATAGCTATTGTTCATGGTATTTTGAAAAGAATGCAATTTTTACAGACGCATTCTTACAAGATTGGTCTCTTAATGTCGGATACTTTTTTCCTCCCTTTGGTCTCCTAAGCAGAGTACTCAGCAAGATCCGGCAAGAGAAAGCAACAGCAATCCTTGTGCATCCAATGTGGCTGTCCCAGCCATGGTGGCTGGCACTCATGCAAGCCAGGTCAAAAACAATCACTTTAGCAAACATGGCAAACGCAATCTTCCTGCCGGAAATCCCAACTGCTTGCCATCATTTGAGGAAAGCCCAATTACAGGCGTCTCTTATCCTACCTGCAAACTAGATGAAATTGTACAAGAAACTATCAAAGCAGCAAGAGCAGGAACAACTCAAAAACAATATCAAAATATTGTCAGTACGTTTCAAAAATTCATCCACGACAATGACAAAAATGTGCAAACCGTCAGCTTCAATACTGTGTTGAGATTCTTGGCAAATTTTACAGCAATCCCACAACAATTTTCATATAGCTATATTTGCCTTATAAAAATGGCAATTGTACAATGGCTTACAGAAAACTGCAGGGATACCATCATCAATCAAAACACCCTAGCTCAATTCATGAAGGGTGCACAAAGAACAACCAGAACCTTTGAGAAANGGCTTACAGAAAACGGCAGGGATACCATCATCAATCAAAACACCCTAGAGCAATTCATGAAGGGTGCACAAAGAACAACCAGAACCTTTGAGAAAAAAGATGCCATATGGGATGCTGAATCCGTGTTAAGGAATATACAAAAAACACCATATCCAGAATCCATCCTGGATCAAGCCCAAGAAACAGTAATTATCCTAGCGCTTGCAACTGGACTAAGAGTGAATGATATTTCAAAATTATGGAAAAACATCAGGAAAGAGGGTCACGATTTATTTATACCTTTCCTCAAAATCCAGAAAACATCTTTGGCATCAAAAAGAACAAAAGCTGGCATAACGGTGGCACCATATAGCCAGAATCAAAGAATCTGTCCAATCAATCTGGTGGAAAGATACATACAATCCACGCAATTTTCGGAGCGATCAGAATACCTATTTGTCAGAGCTGATAATGGACAAAGAGTGAAAAAAGCCACATTAAGACAATGGCTCATAAAGATCCTCGACAAAATGAATATACATGATACGCCAGGCTTGACACGAGCAGCAGCAGCATCATCTGCATGGGCAAAGAACAGATCTTTTGATTCAATTGCCAAACTGACTGGCTGGAAGCAAGAATCAACTTTCCAAAAATATTATAATTGAAAGTTGTCGGAAAAAGGTCTAAATTTCATGGAAGTCCCAACTCCAAACAGCAGATGCGCAAGACGCACCCCTGTTCAAACAGGGACAGGAAGCAATCCAAAAATAGATCCCAAAAAGCTTTTCAAAAATGATCCTTCTAGTAAAGGCAAGGAAGCACAGGGGGGAGTCAGAAAGCGCAAATACATGAAAAAACCAAAACAAAGTGTGCCGGAAGAGGCAATAGCGCGCCAAACTCGCGCACGTATGTTGAATTGCACAGCTGTTACTGTTGAGTGAGTGTCGTAAAACGGCAACGCGACGTGTATATATGTGAAAAACACGTTTTATGACTTTTTTCCAGCGACGATGTGAAAAGTGTACAGTGAGATGTGCAAAAAGCAATAAACTTGTTCAAAAATGCTTAACGTCTTTCGTTAATATCCTGGGAACGGACCTTGTATCCGATTCTCAAGATTTGCAGTGAAGGGAATTTTGTTAGGGTGTAGTAACAAAAACCCCCAGGCAAGGGCACCGTTAGCCTGGGGAATGTTACTACTTACCTTACCAAATTCCCTTCACTGGCCCATATAATAACTCCCAGCCCACCCTTAAAAAAGGGACAAAGGACAGGAAGCACTCCAAAAATAGATCCCAAAAAGCTTTTCAAAAACGATCCTTCTGGTAAAGGCAAGGAAGCACAGGGGGGAGTCAGAAAGGGCAAATACATGAAAGAACCAAAACAAAGTGTGCCGGAAGAGGCAATTGCGCGCCGAACTTGCGCACGTATGTTAAATTGCGCAGCTGTTACTGTCAAGTGAGTGTTGTAAAACGGCGACGCGACTTGTATATATGTGAAAAACACGTTTTATGACTTTTTTCCGGCAACAATGTGAAAAGTGTACAGTGAGATGTGCAAAAAGCAATAAACTTGTTCAAAAGTGCTTAACGTCTTTTGTTAATATCCTGGGAACGGACCTTGTATCCGATTCTCAAGATTCGCAGTGAAGGGAATTTCGTTAGGGTATAGTAACAAAAACCCCCAGGCAAGGGCACCGTTAAGACCTTGTATCCGATTCTCAAGATTCGCAGTGAAGGGAATTTGGTTAGGGTGTAGTAACAAAAACCCCCAGGCAAGGGCACCGTTAGCCTGGGGAATGTTACTACTTACCTTACCAAATTCCCTTCACTGGCCCATATAATAACTCCCAGCCCACCCTTAAAAAAGGGACAGTCTCCTGCACAAGGAAAATATGAAGTTAATACTGATGTACTCAGCTAGTTGTTGCAAATTTTTTCTCGGAATTTGTGAGCATCAAAATACATTACCTCGCAGTGAAGGGAATTTGGTTAGGGTGTAGTAACAAAAACCCCCCAGGCAAGGGCACCATTAGCCTGGGGAATGTTACTACTTACCTTACCAAATTCCCTTCACTGGCCCATATAATAACTCCCAGCCCACCCTTAAAAAAGGGATGGATACAAAGTTCCGTATATAGCCCGCTAAAAATCTGAGGCTGGGGGGATCCTTACAGGGGAAGTGGTTCAATATTCGCAGTGAAGGGAATTTGGTAAGGTAAGTAGTAACATTCCCCAGGCTAACGGTGCCCTTGCCTGGGGGTTTTTGTTTGTTGATTACCAATTGTGATTTTCTAAAGAAAAACATTTTCATTGCTAAGTTCCTGTATTATTGTTCCTGAAAACAGTGGAAAATATTTTTCATAAGTACTATTCCAGAACTGGGCTAAAGCATTTCAGTGAATTTACTTTCTATAGGTATCACAGTCAACATCATGTGTCCTGGAGTTGTGAATACTGAGGTCTTCAGAAACATGAATCCTGTCATCAACATGGTGAACAAACTCACATTCTTCAAATCTGTGAAGGTGACAGAAAATTTGCGGCGCATTATATGTACTTGGATTATCACGTAAAATTTGATGGATAACTAAAGAACCGATTTTCTTGCGAATTTCGTTGAAGACCCCTTTTGAAGGAGCTCAAACTGCCGTGTTTCTTTCGACTGACCCGGCTTTGACCGGGACCACTGGGGAATTCTTCACCAATTGCGAGGTAATGTATTTTGATGCTCACAAATTCCGAGAAAAAATTTGCAACAACTAGCTGAGTACATCAGTATTAACTTCATATTTTCCTTGTGCAGGAGACGAAATTGAGCCATTTTCAGCTACTCGATGATCAGTTTGGAGACGTGCTTCTGGACAAGCTTACTGACATATTTTCAGAGACGTCGGGGACACTGAAAAATTGATCTTGCTTTTGACTAAATTGCTGTTTTTCGTTTTGAAACGGAAAATCCTGGTTGCTGGTTCGAATTCACATTCAGCATTCGTTCATTTGCTTCTTTGTAGTGTACAACAATACGTGGGGCGTCATCTGGACTCATAGGACCGCAGAAGAAAAACTTGACCGTTTTTGCGGACCAAAGAGCCCAGTTCTCAAAATCTGCAAAAATACGTAGGTCTGAAAGCGCGACAAATGAAAAATACTGTATCAACAGTTTAACACATACTGTATATTCATATGGTTTTTCGAAAAGGTATCAAATTTCATCAAGTTTTTCGCTGGAAATTTGGCTTGCCTCAAACCAATGAAAAAGGAGAAAAGAAATGTGCAGTTTAAAATCTTCTCATCTTTAAAATTTGTAAGATTCAGAAACTTGTGAGCAAGAAAAGGGCAAAATGGCTTCAACACTTCATAAAGGTCAAACTGAAATTCCCAATTTTCTGCTATAAACTTTGAGAAATAGGAAAAGGTATAATAATTATCAATTTGTATGCTGTTTTGGTGAGCATTTGGATCACATTGAATAAATTGCAGGGTAAACTTTTGGGAAAATACGTGTCAAATCACAGAAAATCCATGTGCAATACACACTGTGGAACAAGGTAGATCATGGAAATTATCAATGGTCACAATCTAATCTATCAGTGGTTGGTTCAATGCTTGAAGGCATTTGGTATGTAAGTCATAATTTCCTAGTAATAATGTAATGAGAAATCATTTAATTTATTTCTGATTATCCTGAGTAAAGATATCAAGGTCAAATAGAGGGAATGAGCAGGGAATTTCCAAAAGCAAACAATAAGAGAATGAAGAAAACAGCAGTTACTTCAGGACCATGCAGGTATACTATCTCTAGAATGATTTTATCTAGAAAAAATTTCTCTGTTTGTGGTTATTTACAGCTGGTGAAATCAAAGCATTACTATATACATTGTTGGGCTGGTGTTGACAAATAATGTGTAAAATGAAACAAGCAGTCACTCAGCCTTTAGGAGGCCAGTTCCTCCTTATGGGAGTCCCTCATGCTTTTACTTCCAGAAATCACACAGACAATCAGGCACAGCTAGTTCAGAATCCTGAAGACACACAAGACATGCACACACAACATGTCTAACAATCAAGACAGTTCCTGGGCCAGGCACATGTTGTCAGGCAATGCATGTGGAGAAGTGACATTGGCTATGGAGCCTTTGGAATTCCTTTGCTTGCCTTTGATGCCAATCTTGACACTTGGTTTACTGCAATGCGGCAAACTGGGTGTACAACGGGATTCTGCTGCATGTGCCACTCTTGCCTGGTGATGTTGGTGTGCCCCAAGCAAGGATGCTGCACTTGGGTCATGCTGTAAAGCGTAACCCCACATACATGAAGCCTTCTCTTATTGTCTCCCTCTTTCAACAAAAGGGTGGAAATTCCTCAATCATGAATAGTTCTATAGCAGCTTTGAGATAGCAAATAAACAGCAAGGGCTTTCTATTTTATGACCACCAATCGGTTACTAAACATGGCAAAGCTGCCACATCTGTTAGCAACTGGCTAACAAATATGGTATAAGTCAAATGAAAGTGAGAAATAGGAAAATTTTAATTATCATCCATTTGTATGGTGTTTTGGTGACATTTTTACAAATTCTGATGGCTGGATAAATTAATTTCTTTTTTTGAAATCCAATGGACCCCTGACACCAGTTCTTTTCTTGGCTGCATTTAAGCTTCTTCCATAAGGGCCATGGAGCCATCTTTTTTTCCTGATTTTGACTACTGTAGTAACAGTGTAACACGGATGAGCTATTTTTGCTATACAGTCAACCCCCACATAACAGACCTAATTTGAGCAACATACTAGTCTGTTATCCAAAAAGTCTGAAGTGCAAATTCAATTTTTTGAAAATTTGCCATGATCACCACCTGATCATGCTCTTCCTATATACTGTACTGCACAGACTTGTACAATGAACCCTTGGACATTAGAAGCCTCCTCTCCATCCTACGACAACATGGCCTTAGGATGGGAAGGAGGCTTCCAAAAGGATGGAAAGGAGACCTTCTCAACAACCAAAATCCTGTCATACATCAGGAATTTTGTTGCTGAGAGGGATCTAGAAAAGTCTAGAAGGATCTTTTAGGGTTGAATCCTTTTTTTTCAGATATCTTTAATGCTGATACTTTGCTAGGAATTCTGGAAAAAACACCACCTAGTTGGGACATTTTTCAAGCAAAACTTTTCTAACATCCTTATTCAGTCCACAACTCCACATTGAACAATAACAGCCTCCTAACATGGTTGAGTGACCTGTCCTTCCACTGCACTCCTAAGAGTGCAGTGAAAGCGCAGTTGTTGCAATTGCATTTTTAACGACAACAACTTGAATTACTGCAACAAATGTAAGCTTGACATCAGAAAATGCTGCAACAAATGTAACTGCAATATCACAGAGTACTGTAACATATTGACTGTGCCAAAAATATACTGCGCCAAATTAAACAAAGGAAAATTAATTTTAAACATGACAAGTTTTCTTTAAAATGTGTATCTTACAAAATTTTAAGAAACAACCCATCCCATTCAGGCATAGTTTAAGATACACCAGTTTCTTATTCAACCGCAGCAGGCAGGCATTTCAAACCCCCTAGGTGCAAGGCATAACAAAAGTCCCAACCCAAGTAGAGGCATAGCATGCAACTCATGGCAGTTGGGGCATGAAACAAATTTGCCATGCGTTTTGCTAAGCCCAATTATTTGCTGGGTTTGGTCCATTATCTTTCAAAATGTTTTTTCTAGAAGAAAATTTGCTCAAACTAGAATGATTGGTCGTGCCATGCATCTTGATGGTGTGCAAAAAAATGATCTGGCACAATAGGAAAATAACTCGTGCATGTACAATTCTGCTTGGCAACGAAAAATGGGAATTAGAAAAATGTTTTCTTCAAAAACTTCATGTCAAGCTTTTTCCACCTTGTCTTCCTTCAGGTTTCTTGGATCTGGCATGCTATTGCATGATATCGCAAGATATTTTTGTCCAACAATGAAACTAAGCATGAGTCACAGACTCACAGAGAAAGCCTGTGCAAAATTCATTTCTGCAGCAGCTTTCTTGTGACCAATCACATTCCATCCAGAAGCCGAGGACCCTTCCCTTTGGAAATATTCATAACTCCTGGATGAAGTGGATGAGATTAACAAAATACAGTACAGTATCGTAATTTGCAAAAATGTCAACACAACAATGAAAAGTAAAAAAAATCTTTTGATGCTCAGTAGTCTCATTTCTCTTGATGACAAGGGATCCAAAACCTGATTCGCAATTGATTGAAATGCATGTTTGTCTCTTGATGAAAGAAAACAAGACTAGTACATTTTGCAAGACTTTTTGGCATTGAAAACCAAATTCGTAAAGCGTTATCAAATTGCGACCTCTATGTAGTAAATCAAGAAAACTAAAGCGACTTGGAATCCAAATAAAACCAGAAAAAAAATTGGACTGAGACTTGGATGATGGCAATTCAAAATGCGACGTGAGAAAATATTAGCTTGTATAGACTCATCCCTTATTAATACTGTCTGCAAAAAATTTCTCTCCATAACAATTTTTTACTGTGTCCAATAGGGTTCTCTCCCCATGTTTATACTGGTTCTCAACAAGGATTTTTTCTGGTCTCTCAAGTTTTGTTGTTGAGAGGGTCCACCTCCAGATAATGTTAGAGAACATCCCGCTTCAAGTAAGTTATGATTCTCTGTACAGCAGTTCAAAAATTAGGTAACAAATAACGAACACTTTATTTGTCCTAATTTAAATGACTTGGGGCAACATGATAGGAATTATGACTAATTCAACTGACATATTGATTGGGAAGAGCATGGAAACATGCCTTTTATGCATGAAAAACGAACTTATTGTGGAATACAACGCGGATTCAGATCATTCCACACAAATTCCATCCAGCGTTACGGAAAACTTATATAGAAAAAATAATAATAATTGGAAAAATTTCACAACAAAGAACAGCACAAAGAATAATGTTGCCAAATATAGGTTTACTTTGAAAATAATAGCAGTTGCACAATCAGAAGCAAACGTGGAATTTTAATTTCCACCCGCCACCTGAATTCCCCTCGAACTATTGCATAAACTCTTAATTTAACCCAATTTGCGATCCCCATTTTGCAATTTACCGTAAAAAACAAAATAAAATGTCTCGATGTTTTGGCTTTCTCTTCTTTTGTCATTCACAGAGGTTCGAAACTGAACATACGAGAAGGTCTTTGAAGCCGAAGGCTTTTCTAAATTAAATATAAATGAAGAGGAAACTGCAGTCACGATTTGAAAGAAAGCACGTTTATTTGCAATTTCTCACTACCCAACGAAACAGGAGTAGGGATTCAATCTGCAAGTTCTCGTGACAACGCAAAAATCTTTCTGTGGCGAATAAAAAATGCAGTCCTCATATTTCAAAATCTGCCTCGTCGTCTCGCTACTGTATGAGACTTCTCTTAAATTTTTGTTGCAAGAACTTCATATTTTGGACTGAATTCCGCCATGTCGAGAAGGTTGGTTTTAAATCAGCTAAGGAGAAGCAAAGTCCTCTTTTTCGCAAGTGAGTACAATTTCCAGGCACCATCAGTAATTTAATTTGGAATTCCAAAAGTGGCTATCATGTTTGAAGGCGAGTTAAAAATTTCCATTTCCTTGATTTTTTCCAGATTTGAAGCGGAATTTATTATTGCTGTTTGTCAGTTTCTGTTAGGTGTTCTGGTTATCCCTTGTTAATGCTGAAAAGCGGCAAATAAAGTTTTCTGTTCATTCATTCATTCAAACAACCAAAATCCTGACATATGTCAGGAATTTTGTTGCTGAGAAGGCCCTTGTCTAGAAGGATCTGTGAGGGTTGAATCCTTTTGCTTTCAGATATCTGCAATACTAATTCTTTGCCAGGAATGCTGCAAAAAACACCACCTAGCATAGAAATGTTTTAAGCAAAACTTTTCTAACATCCTTATTCAGTCCACAACTCCACATTGAACAATAACAGGCTCCTAACTTGGTTGAGTGACCTGTCCTTCCACGCACTGCACTCCTAAGAGTGCAGTGAAAGCTTAGTTGTTGCAATTACATTTGTAACCACAAGAACTTGAATTACTGCAACAAATGTAAGCTTTATACATCAGAAAATACTGCAACAAATGTAACTGCAATGTCACAGAGTACTGTGACATATTGACTGTGCAAAAAATATACTGAGCCAAATTAAACAAGGGCAAATTAATTTTAAATATGACAAGTTTTTCTTTAAAATGTAAAAAATCTTACAAATTTTCAAGAAACAACCCAACCAATTCAGGTTTACTTTAAGTTAAACCAGTTTCTTATTCAACTGTAGAAGGCAGGCATTTTAAACCACCTAGGTGCAAGGCATAACAAAAGTCCCAACCCAAGCAGGCATAGCATGCAACTCATGGCAGTTGGGGCAAGAAACAAATTTGCCATGCGTTTTGCTAAGCCCAATTATTTGCTGGGTTTGGTCCATTATCTTTCAAAATGTTTTCTCTAAAAGAAAATTTGCTCAAACTAGAATGATTGGTTGTGCCATGCATCTTGATGGTGTGCAAGAAAATGATCTGGCACAATAGGAAAATAACTCGTGCATGTACAATTCTGCTTGGCAAAGAAAAATGGGAATTAGAAAAATGTTTTCTTCAAAAACTTCATGTCAAGCTTTTTCCACCTTGTCTTCCTTCAGGTTTCTTGGATCTGGCATGCTATTGCATGATATCGCAAGATATTTTTGTCCAACAATGAAACTAAGCATGAGTCACAGACTCACAGAGAAAGCCTGTGCAAAATTCATTTCTGCGGCAGCTTTCTTGTGACCAATCACATTCCATCCAGAAGCCGAGGACCCTTCCCTTTGGAAATATTCATAACTCCTGGATCAAGTGGATGAGATTAACAAAATACAGTACAGTATCGTAATTTGCAAAAATGTCAACACAACAATGAAAAGTAAAAAAAATCTTTTGACGCTCAGTAGTCTCATTTGTCTTGACAAGGAATCCAAAACCTGATTCGCAATTGATTGAAATGCATGTTTGTATCTTGATGAAAGAAAACAAGACTAGTACATTTTGCAAGACTTTTTGGCATTGAAAACCAAATTCGTAAAGCTTCATCAAATTGCGAACTCTATGCAGTAAATCAAGAAAACTAAAGCGACTTGGAATCCAAATAAAACCAGAAAAAAAATTGGACTGATGCTTGGATGATGGCAATTCAAAATGCGACGTGAGAAAATATTAGCTGGTATAGACTCATCCCTCATTAATACTGTCTGCAAAAAATTTCTCTCCATAACAATTTTTTACTGTGTCCAATAGGGTTCTCTCCCCATGTTTATACTGATTCTCAACAAGGAATTTTTCGGGTCTCTCAAGTTTTGTTGTTGAGAGGGTCCACCTCCAGATAATGTTAAAGAACATCCCGCTTCAAGTAAGTTATGATTCTCTGTACAGCCGTTCAAAAATTAGGTAACAAATAACAAACACTTTATTTGTCCTAATTTAAATGACTTGGGGCAACATGATAGGAATTATGACTAATTCAACTGACATATTGATTGGGAAGAGCACGGAAACGTGCCTTTTATGCATGAAAAACGAACTTATTGTGGAATACAACGCGGATTCAGATCATTCCACAAAAATTCCATCCAGCGTTACGGAAAACTTATATAGAAAAAATAATAATAATTGGAAAAATTTCACAACAAAGAACAGCACAAAGAATAATGTTGCCAAATATAGGTTTACTTTGAGAATAATAGCAGTTGCACAATCAGAAGCAAATGTGGAATTTTAATTTCCACCCGCCACCTGAATTCCCCTCGAACTATTGCATAAACTCTTAATTTAACCCAATTTGCGATCCCCATTTTGCAATTTACCGTAAAAAATAAAATAAAATGTCTCGATGTTTTGGCTTTCTCTTCTTTTGTCATTCACAGAGGTTCGAAACTGAACATACGAAAAGGTCTTTGAAGCCGAAGGCTTTTCTAAATTAAATATAAATGAAGAGGAAACTGCAGTCACGATTTGAAAGAAAGCAAGTTTATTTGCAATTTCTCACTACCCAACGCAACAGCAGTAGGGATTCAATCTGCAAGTTCTCGTGACAACGCAAAAATCTTTCTGTGGCGAATAAAAAATGCAGTCCTCATATTTCAAAATCTGCCTCGTCTCGCTTTTGTGTGAGACTTCTTGAAATTTTTTGGTCCAAAAACTTCATATTTTCGACTGAGTTCCGCCATGTCGAGAAGGTTGGTTTTAAATCAGCTAAGGAGAAGCAAAGTCCTCTTTTTCGCAAGTGAGTACAATTTCCAGGCAACATCAGTAATTTAATTTGGAATTCCAAAAGTGGCTATCATGTTTGAAGGCGAGTTAAAAATTTCCATTTCCTTGATTTTTTCCAGATTTGAAGCGGAATTTATTATTGCTGTTTGTCAGTTTCTGTTTTGGCGTTTCATTCTCAAAGTATGCGATGGCTCCAACGCATAAGAAATCATTTTTTCGGTGAGCAAATCGAAACAATTTTTTACCGCTCTTCAAAAGTATCAATTCTCTCTTTGAGTAGAGGCATGACGCAATTTTTTATTACAGGCCCAAAACGATCAATCATCCATTACTCCGATTTCCGTCTCCTTTCAAAGGTAATTCAGAAGTATATTTAATTTACATTATACCTTTTTACTGTGCGAGTTTACTTGAATGCGAAACAAGACTCGACATATTGCCGATGTAGCTTCCAATTAAAAATGTTTGCCGCTGTGAAAACTGAAAAGTTTCCCCGAATTTTTTCAAGATGTCTTTATGTGAACTCAAACCGGTTTTATTCATCTTCAATTTGTGTCTTTTTTCTGTCCGATTTTTTCTAAATATTGGGTTGAATCGATGAATTATTTTGAGAGACACTTGCGATTAAAATTCAAGTATCATGCCATGTTTACTGCCTGCTAAAGTTTCCTTCCTTGAATGCTGCGACTTTTTTTGCCGAAGGATATTCAGCGAAAAGTTTCAATTGTGAAGCCAAGCTGGAGGAATTCGTTCATCTGCTCTTTCCGAAGCATGAAAATGTAATATTTGAAATTTTTTATAACAATCCTGCGCCTGCAAATCAAACTTGTGATCGTACGTGAGACGTACATTGCATTCCATGAATTTCAGAGCCAGCAGTTTTTGGCCGACAGAGTCTACTCAAATTTAACTGTATTATATGGAATTAATTTATCGAATACATTGTATAGGAAATCAGTCCCAGTAAGTCATCATCTTTTGACATTTTTGCAGTGGATGACAGAGTAGCGAGAAATTTGGAGGAAAGGGTTCGTGTTTTGTGTTGGATCATGACAACACCGGAGAACCACGAGAAAAAGGCGATGCAAGTGAAGCGAACCTGGGGAAAGCGTTGCAATACTTTGTTGTTCATGAGCACCGGAGACGGTAAGACTCTTTTTTTTTCTTACATGAAAGTTCATGTTTGAAATGACGAGCATTTCGAGGTCTGATATCTGACGAAAAACTGCCAAATTTGTAACCCCATTTTCATTTCACGGAGTGGTTTCAACGCTTGCGTGCTACACATGATGGTTTGGAAGTTCTGTAATTATTGACTAATTGATAAATCATCTCAGCTGATACATGAAATTTATCTCGATTTTACGCAGATGAGTCTTTGCCAGCGATAAATTTGCACATCGCGGATGGACGAGAGGAATTATGGAACAGGACTAAAGCTGCTTTCAAGTTTGTCTACGAAAACTTCTTTGACGAAGCCGACTGGTTTATGAAAGCAGACGACGACACGTGAGTTTTTTTTTTTTTTTTGCTTTCATGTTGTTGAGCAAGTTTTGAATTATCTTCGTATTTTTTCCATTCGAAAGACGACGTCAGAAAACTAGAGAATTGCGGTTTTCGAGTTTCAATGACTGAGCGCGAGTATTTTATTTTATTTTATACAGATATGCAATCATAGAAAATCTACGTTACATGGACTTTCTACTTCTAGGTTTACAAGGCTGAACCACCCCGACAGTCAAGTTATTCAAGTGGTTCGCACCGATGTACCGGCCTCCGGGTCCATTACGTCTTTCGAAAACAAAAAATGTGTGACATATATTCTTAATTTTTTAAGGAGAAACGTGATGTGTAGCAAAGGTCAGCATGAGCATAATTTGACCCAGATAATAAAATGGCATAAAATATATCAGATTCTGCCAAAAATGAGATTTAAACTTTTATTGTTTATTATGTTTTGATTATCTCGTGAATCTAGATGGGTTTTACATTCAATTGCAGGTGAAACAAAAATAAATCAAGGGCTGTATGCCTATATATTCATTTTAAATTACAAGCCTTGTAGACAGCAGGCTACTTGAGATCACAGAAGATGAATCTTTGTGTTTAAATTCCCAAAAATGTAGGCTGATCTGCAGCAAAGATTTCTTGACGGATTCGAATTTTGGATATTTTAAATATTGATTGAGTTGAATAGAAGAGTTACGGTGCTTTTATTTTTTCCCTGGTTGGTACTAAAGAAATTATTCAGACTCAAGAAGGTCAGCTCAGCGGAAAAAGTACTGTACTTTTACTTTAAAGGATTTTCCGCTTAGCTGCTTTTTTGTAATAATTATGGTGATTCAGAATTATTGATGAACTTTGTATCTTCATCAATTGAACCAGGCTACATCTTGAGCAAAGCTGCCTTGGAAAAGTTCGTTCTCGAAGGCTTGTCAAATCCAAAAATTTGTCGACAGGACAGTGGAGGATTTGAAGACGCTGAAATGGGTTTGTCGAAATTCTGTTTTCAATCTCAAAAAATTACTAAAGACGATTACTGGAAACGTTACTTAATACACAGATTCAAAGACTGTGCAAAGAGCGTTCTTTCAGTAAGCTGTTCCAGAGTTGCATGACGATGATCTTTTTTTTTTATTCAGTTTGAAGTGAGCTTCGAGAAAAGACCTTTCCTTTTTCCATATTTAATGCCGTGAACATTTTTATTTTTTTATTTTAGTTGAATGACTTTTTTTTACCTGCGGAATTTCGTCAACAGGAATTTGTCTAGACAAACTGAATGTCGTGTACGGTGATTCGAGGGATCCAGGAAAGCGATGGAAGTTTTTCCCGTACGCTCCAGATATCCAGCTGGACCCAGAAGGTTTCAAAGCAGAAGATAAGGCTTGGTTCTCAGACTATATCACTCACCCTTATGTATATGTGAGTTTCGAAGTCTGCATTGTATGCTGTAGTACTTTATATTTTGCATATTAAGCGTTCAATATTCTTCATGTTTGCTAGCCATGCTTGGGAAAATTCAGAAAAAAGAGCTCTGATGAGAAAAGAGAAAAAAATTAATGAATCCATATTGACTCGAATATAATATGTACCCAGATGATTGGCTCTATAAATAACCCTCGTACATATATTATGGATTTCCAAGGAAATTTCCGAAAAATTCAAGATATGCTGGGCAATTTGAGACGGCGAAATTTTGATGCAGCTACAATAGTTGAAAGCAAGAAAATGCCGTGATATCTAAAATTAGAGACTGAACCATTTTGAGACACATTTCATTTTCAAACTTTTGAGATGGAAACTTTTGAGAACCAATAAAATTTTCCAAATTGAGAGAGACACATTTTGTTAGAATAGCAGACAGGAAGATTTTGGTATATTTACAATTCGAGACTGAAAACCATTTTAAAATCAATTTTGTTTTTCGATTTGAGTCAGAAACACTGGGAGACCAATTTAGTTTTTCAATTCAAGGCAGAAAACGTTTGGAAACCGATGTCATTTTTCAGTTTGATACAGGACTTTTTGGAGACGTTTACAATTGCAGACAGAAGCATTTCGTGATGTTTAAAATTTCAGACAGAAGCATTTCATGATACAGTATTTAAAATTTCAGACTGAAGCATGTTTGAGACCAATTTCATTTTGCAACGTCGGACTTAAACTTGTTAGGACCATTTCATTTTCCAAATTAAGAGAGAAACGCTTGGATACTAATTCAATATTTCAAAATGAGGCAGAAATGAATAAGAGTCCCATTCCTGGCCCTTTTTTCCAAGCATGAGTTTTCTTCCTGAATTTTCTTCATTAGAATCAGACACCAAGCATCATTTTCAATATAGACTTGCTGTATTCTTCTTAAATGATGCCCACCACTCAATTCAAATTCCATGTTGATCTTTGCTGAAATTTTATAGACCATTTATTTTTTTTCAAGTGCAGAATTTACTGTTCATTGAGAATATATTTATTAAAATTCAAGTTTTGAGTGCAAAACGTAAAAAAAATGGCCGGAGCAGGTCAAATTTCAGGGCAAGGGTCAAATTGCTGGTCAACCTCCCTGTAAATTTGGCAGTGAAATTGTGGGAGGTCCAATTGCAAGGTACCACCTGTACTGTACTATGAGAGCCGTATTATGACAAAACTTTATTTTTGTGTATTTCACTTGAGAAATGAACTGAAATCCTCAGTGGCCTCTAAAAATTCTTCCAAGTTTTAGGCTTTCTTGGATTCAAATTTAGGTATATATTTTTCAGTACACTGTGTAACTGTATATATCTGGGGAAATGACCATTCATAATTTTGCTGATGGACATTTTCTAAACATGACTGTCAGTATACAGTCAACCCCCGTCTAACCGACTTGATTCCTGCAAGGGATGAGTCTGTTAGATGAAAAGTCCTTTACACTAATTCAATTACATGAAAATTGAAAATTTCAATTTTCAACACTAATTTTAAACCAAAAGAAGTCTGTTTGGTGGATTTTGTCTGTTGGGTGGGAGGAAAAACTGCTTGCAGAGCTGGTCTGTTTGGCGAAAATCCCTTACACGGGAGGTCTGTTAGGCGGGGGGCCACTGTACTAGTGATACATTTTTAAAAGTATACTGGTAGTGGTAGTGAACATAGTTTCTGAGCATGTAGTGGTAATGGTAGTGGTAGTGCAAAAATTTATTTTGCAGTAGGGGTAGTGGTAGTGGTAGTGAGAAGAATTGTGAGTAGGGGTAGTGGTAGCGAGAAGAATTGTGAGTAGGGGTAGTGGTAGTGTAAAAAAGTTTCCAGTAATGATTACAAAATTATCTGTTACCTTTCATTCCATTTGCTGGATATGCAAGAATAAGTTTGAAACTATGAACTCAAATGTTGACCTCAAAACTGTCCCCTTCATTGTTTTTGCAGGGTCCAGAGTGCTGTTCAAACTTGGCGGTGTCTTTCCACTACGTTTCACCCGCAATGATGCATACTCTGGAGTATCTTATTTACGGTTTGAATCCCTATGGACGTAGCATCACTTATGACGTTGCTGAAAGACCCACGGGAGACCATCACCAAGCAAGACCTCCTCATACAGTGATTGAAGAATTTCAATAAAAATGGAAACACCAATTACATTCATCATGGGGATATTTAAAAAATTGGAGTAAAGAGAAATCGTTCGCCACTATATTTTGGGTTGTGGAAATTCGAATATACTGCAGGCTTTGCTGACTGATGAGGATTTTAAAAATTTGTTTTATATTGCCTTCGATTTTTTTTTTCATATTTAGACGAGGATGTATATAGATATTGGATTTTTTTGGTGTGACATACTCACTGCCATGGTTAATCTTTGGCATTCTGTTGTAGCTTTCCCTCAAGGTGTTTCCTTGTAAACCTAGCCAAAATAAAGTTTGGGAAACATCACAGAGCCTTTTTCAAAAGGCAATGAGATGTTTAGCGTTTGCCTCGATTTTTGAAATTTTACGAGATCTTGGACAAGAGAAGAAGAAATTACCTGCATTCTTCTTGCCCAATATAAAGCTGTTTTGGTAATCCTTCATTAATTTTTCGACGGCAAGGTGAGCAATAAAAAAAAACGAAAAACTGAAAATGATTTGAATAAATTTACCGCCTGAATAAAAAAAAAATTTAAAAAACCGATGGAATCTTATTAAAACTGCTGGCAGGGGAATTCTATTGAACAATCACATGAAAAACCACACCAAGCACTATAAAGGGTACTCCTTCTTTAAGTTCTTTCACGTATTAAAAGTATGTTGACTTAATGTTTACAGTAACCTGAACCGAGCAGTTGATCTTTTTGAAAATCAAGAGTTGTCTATATTCTATATAACCTCTGAAAGTTCTTTTTAAAATTTTCGTTGAACAGGCGAACAAAAAATGATGCACATTTTTAGAACTACATGAAACTCAGAATGAATAAAACATAAATTGAACATAAAATGAACAGCGAACTTAATTTTTTAGGGCCGCGAAATTGAAGATAGTGAGGATAAACTACTGTCCTATGATTTTATGGAGATGAAACGGATTCTTGAAAATGTTCTCTGAAAGTGATGCATAAAATTATAATTTCAATGTATTAAAAAGTTCAATGATGTATTCCTGAACATATAACCAGCCTCAGTAAAAGAAAATCCCTGATTTTTAACACAATTTTTTATATAGTAGAGTAAAAAGGCTTATCTTCATTTTTCTCGGTACAAGAATTCATGGTATAGCACAGTACCCCAAAATGGTACCACATAATTAGACAGATGTATCTTTACATTTGGGATTGAAATGCAACTTGAAGCAAAACCAAAGGCTTTCTAGGAATTGCAAAATCACGAGGAATTCATTCGCTGGTGACAGATTCAATATTCAGTAAAATGATCTCCGCAGTGATTCTCGAAAAAAAGGTTTTCAGGTCAATAATTGTACGAGTATGTTTCTGTGCCTTACGTCATGCCTCAGACAGGGAGTAAGGAAAATCAAATTTTTTGCAAATTTTCAACAACGCAATCAGTAAATCATTCTCTCTCGAATGAGGACAGTGCTTTTTTTAATCAGCGATGACCATCTGCAAGCACATTTTAAATTGTGAGATATTAAGGAAATTTTATGATAAAATGGCGCATAAATTAGCAGACAGCAATTATTTAACTTGCTTTCGGTATTCTTTATTAATTTTACCACAGTAAATAATTTTTTATCAATAACTCAGAAATCAGCGAAGGGAACTAAGTTTTTATTTTTAGTTCTATCTTCAATTCCACTTCTGTGGGTAAAAATATATGAATATTTAGTACAATAATTGGTCTCTTCTGCGTGATTATTTCAGACGCGATAATGACCTTTAATTTCTTCATTCATGCAAATATAATCTGAATTTGAATTAAAACTGTCTCCGCTCTGCTTTAGGCATACGAGTAAGTTTCAACGACACGCCGGCAAGTACATTAAAACCAGCATTACCAATAGACGATGGGTTTTGTTTTGTTCTCATTTGTCTCGGCGTTTGTCAATCTTGGCTGTCATGCAGTCTATGCTACTGAAATATGAACGGCGCAGAAAATACAAGTGACTCGACAGAAACGTCAGCTGATTAAGCTAAAGCAGCTTGAATTATTCCTTCAAGAGAAAACAGAAACGGAAGAAGGGAATAAATGAGAGATTCTCACGACTCAGTGTGGTCTTCTCAGAACCGTGAAAAGTTTAATGTATTACCAATCGAGAATTTTGCGGAGTTCCGCCAATTTATTTCCATTACAGTATTTTTTTATGATTGGTTCTCGAATTCCTATACCCGGAACGATAACAATTTTGAACCAGTGCAGAATATATGGTGTAACGAGTGAAGTTCCTTTCTTGGTCACAGAAACTCTTCCGGATGTGAGTAAATTGATTTTTGAATACATTTTTCTTTGCGGCTATGGCGTCACAAATTAGACATTAAAAGATTTCTCCGATTTACGACCCTTATATGAAACTCTGATTAAAAAGGAAAACCTGGCATACATAGACGCCTTAAAATATGGAAACTTCGATGACACATGGGAAATTGAAACTGAAAAAATCTTCCCTGACATTTTAATAAACAGAAGATCTGGACACTTCCCAATTTTCCTGAGAAATTAAAAACATTAGCCCAAAAGATTTGGAAATTTCTTGGCCAAATTTCCCTCCTGTCTTGACCAAATTGGAATAAAGATCACGATATAATCACTCCGAATTATTTCTGAATCATTTTTTTATTTGCAGAAATGTTTCCTTCTTTTTTATAAAATGGGAGAATTGCTCAATAATTTTGCCATTTAATCCTGTGGTAAAATGCAAACCAACATGCAGACATTCCAACATATAATGGGATAAAGTAAAAATTCATCATTATCATCTTTTTCGCCGGGACTCGTTGTAATCCTCATTGAAAAACTCCAACATTTCTAAATGTCAGACTAAATACCTAATTTCCTTCCACAACCGTAATATACTGTACAATGTATGTTGTACTTCAGTAACCATAATATTGAACCCATCCAGAGCGAGGTTCCACCGGAGAATTTTTGCTGCAGTTCTCTGCTGCTCCTGAAGACATGTAAGTCAGTCATGTAATTCTGTTGATTATCTCTTCTTATTTCACCAAACTGAATGTAATATGAAAAAGGATATTCCATTCAGTAGTCCCACACAACCCTTATCAAAAATCGTCGATTGATTTTCTTTGTTTGCGCCTTGCCCATCGTCTTACTTGAATTTAAACGAGCATAGCAAATTCCTCTCCATATTGCGACGATGTCATTCTGTTGATTAAATTTACACTACTGTATGTGCAGAGATAGCATGATAATTTGATGTCTTCCTATGTAGAAACTTGATTTAGAAGTCTCATCAAGCACACCCAACCTGGGATTTTGCCAAAGCCTTGTCGTTTTCTAGCTACACTCTTAAGCATCACAGACATGATTGAACACGCTAATTCCGCGGGCTCCAAGGTCTGTGACAACCATCTCGGTTGGATCGGCAGCATCTACGGGTGATGCATTTGTTCTACTTGTGTGTAGGTGTCGCTAGACGACTACCAAATTGTGAAGGAGGGTTCCCAGCGGAATAGAAACATTTTCCATGGTCTCAAGCCTATATGTACAGTATATGTACTGCTGTATATTAAAATGAGCTTAAAGATGAAAAGTAGTTTCTTGAAACAAGATTTTTTGACGTGGTTTCTAATATGGAAGAACTGCTGGGATACAGAAAAAGATATGACAAAAAAACGCTACATGACGTTTGTTATTGTAACAGAATTTCCGTGTATCTTTTCTTACATCCTGAGTCCTATGCATAATCTTCAAGTACTGTTCCGGAGGTTGCTAAAAGTATCCTGCAGCTTCAAGCCTTCAGAGAATGTAGATTCATTTTTTGCAGGCTTGTTGATCTTTTTCATGTAAGCATGAAATCACAGGCTATATACACATATATCGGCACCATCCTACTTTTCGCTTCCGGAGGAAAACTAAATGGACGGCAAATTTTGAAGGAAGAATTATTTTAGTGAGGAAACACCTGATATTTGCATTCAAAGCATCCAGCAATAGGCGAAGAACGAGAACGGCAAACTCTATACTAGGCGATATCCTGATAAAAACATTTCCTGATAATGTTTCCAGGGATGAAAAGAGTTTAGTTTTGATTTTTTGTCTTTTTTCCTTCCTTTTAATCAAGATTAAGATTTTTATGATCCGGTTACAGGATATATGGAAATCAAGTTCGGTAAGAAAACACTGAAATATCTCAAATATCGCCAAAACCAATGTTTTTGAGAGTTTTTTCTAGAATACATTTATATTTTGAAATAATTTCCATAGCCCGAAATTTCATTTTAAAATTAATCGCTGTACTTGTGTCATCGTTCTACTGGCATAGTTGAAGCTGTAGTCTTGTCAAATCGTCCTGCCCTTGAATTTGTATTATGTCCTCTCGTCGTCAAGCTGCATGACTTGTCCAAATTCAAGGAAACTTTCAAATACAGCCACAATTTCTGCATTTTTGCAAATTAACCCTGAAAATCGTGCAATAAACAATTATAATTCCTCATGAAGGCTTTCCTCATCAAACTTTATAAAATCAGCCCATCCACTATTAAGTTTAATAATGAAACTCCATATAATGTTCTACAAAAAATTTTTTTGTCTGAGAGGAACACTGAACTTAAGCCGAATGAAATTGAGAAACATTAATAAATTTGGTAAAAAATATCATGGAGACTGAAGAGAATGTAAATATTTGAGGAATTGCATGCAAGAAACTATATTTTTGTACAGCAAACAAGTACGGAGTATCAAGAAAGAATCATTAGCAAAAGCGTGATTCCTTAAAATGGAAGCATGCATTTGCAAATGAGTATACACAAGAATCCTTTTCCAACGCAGGTTTTAAATTGCATGATTGGATTTTATTTGCCGAGAATTATGTCATGTCTCAATGAGTGAGGGGTTACGTATACACGTCTTTTCAAATAGCATAAAACAGTGATCAAAAATGAATGATCTTTTTTTTTCGTTGAAATGTAAGGCTTGATGATAATTTCAGACTAAAAGCATGCAAAAATGACAGGTTTGCGCATGCCAAAAAAAACTTCATTTGCTTTAAACTTCCAAATCATTGAAGAATTTTCAGAAATGTCCTAATGAGCTTATGTCTCTAAATGTCTTCATTTATATTTACGGCATCATTTTGTGGCTCATTATCAGGTTGCGTTTCTTCCATGCTTGGAAAAACTTGGGAAGTGTAAATTCGGCTATTTTATTCTCTCAATTCAATTTTCTTTGGCGCTTCAGGTATTTAATTGTCTTTTGGAAACAAGTGTTTTCAAGAACTGCTCAATGATTTTGTTTGCCTATTGTATTGTGAGTGTTTTTTACTGATTCCTACTGTGAGAAAAATTCCAGTCTTCCCTCAACATTCAAGCAGATTCTTTTTATTTTTTCCATCTAACAGCCATAAAATGCTATGAATATAATTTTAAAAAATAAAAGCTGCTATGACTAAGTTGCATTATTGCCTCAGCAATTTGGTGTTTCTTAAATCTGGATGTATATTTTTAGCAGTTAGATCTGCAGTAAGTAAAATATTTTCTCGAGGACCACATATGCCCTGGAGTAAGACGGTTTTCTGGTCCTAATATTTGGCAAAAATCGTATCCCTGAGTGTGACGCAAACTTCACGTTTAGTGACTAAAACAGCCGAACATTTTGTAAACAAAATGCATCAAATTCCAAATTTTGACTAGCATTGAACCCAAATTGAATCAATGACGCAAGAACCTCACGTTTAGTGACTAAAAAAGCCGAACATTTTGTAAAAAAAAAATGCATCAAATTCCGTATTTTGACTTGCATTGAACCCGGATTGAATCAATTTTCCATCGCTTCCATTGGAAAA